GGTCCCAGCACATGAGGGTGGTCTGAGTCCCCCTTGCTGAGCATCCTTCTTGTTTCAGGGCAAAACTGGTGACCCAGGTCCTCGAGGGCTCCCAGGGCTGCCTGTAAGTGGAGAGCTGTGCTGGGAGGGGGTGGTGTCCAATGGGATGAAAAGATGGGTGCCCACTGTGGAGACATTTTCATCTCTGGGGTGGTTGTGGGGCAGAGAATGACCCAAACCCTGCGTGGGAGGCTGGCTGGTGACAAGTAGGGCATAGGGAGAGCAGTGCCCTCCTAAAACTACAATAATCATAGAATCACAGGATCGAACAGGTTGGAAAAGACCTCTGAGATCATCGAGTCCAACCTGTGACCCAACCCCACCTTGTCACCCAGCCCATGGCACTGATGCCACATCCAGGCTCTGCCCAAACCCCTCCAGGGACGGGGACTCCACCCCCTCCCTGGGCAGCCCATTCCAAGGGCTGAGCCCTCTCGTTGCCCTTCTCTGGACCTGCTGCAGCCCCTCCATGTCCTTCCTGAGCTGAGGGGCCAGAACTGGGCACAGCACTCGAGGTGTGGCCTCCCCAGTGCCCAGCACAGGGGCACAATCACCTCCCTGCTGCTGCTGCCACACTGTTCCTGAGCCAGGCCAGGATCCACTGGCCCTCTTGGCCCCCTGGGCACCCCTGGCTCATGTTCAGCTGCTGTCAGTCAGAGCCCCCAGGTCCCTCCCTGCCTGTCCCTGTCCCCCCACTCTGTCCCCAGCCCATGGGGCTGCCGGGGGTTGTTGTGGCCACAGTGCAGGACCCAGCACTTGGCCTGGTTGAACCCCAGACCATGAAGGTGAGAGGCCCCAGGACACACCAGGAGCAGGTGGTACCTTGCAGACCCCATGGTGGCCCAAGTGCATCAGCCACGGGGCTCCCACTGGCTTTGTCCTCCCTGGAGCTGCAGCCAGAGCTGCCTCTCAGGGTGCCCAAGTGCCCTTCTGGCCTTGCAGGGTGTTCCTGGCATGCAGGGGCCGGACGGCATTCCCGGGAAGCCTGGCTTGGCTGGAGAAACAGGGGCTCCTGGAGCAGCCGGTGCTGCTGGCCTGCCTGGGTACCCGGTGAGTGCAGCTGGAGCTCCCCATCCACACCCAGCACAGCCCCTGGCTCAGGGCAGGGTGCAAGGATTGTGCTGGTGCAGAACTTTGGGGGAGCTCCCTAAAGAACCTGCGGGAAGGGAAGGAGAAGGGAAGCTGCTCTGAGGGGCTTGGGGAGCTGCTGTGTGGCTTCTCCTGCCGTGGGTACGGGGTGCGTGCCAGGGCATCCCAGGCCCAGCTCAGGAGCTGGAAAGGCCTCCTGAGCTGGGGCAAATTGCTGCTGATGTGGAGGTTGTTTGTTCACAGGGCCGGGAAGGTCCAAGTGGGCGTGAAGGGCCTTCAGGGATGAGAGGAGAGAAGGTGAGGATAGAGGAGGGGGTTGGTCCCACTTGCTGGCCCCAAGAGAGCCTTGGGCTTGTTCTGCTGACCTCCCCAGGGCACCCCTCCCAGTTTGGCCCCTGGTTTTGCCCAGTGGGGTGGGGGTTTACACCCCTGGTGCAAGGGGGGAGAAGAGCCTTGCAAGCCCTCCTGCACAGCAGGGTCTGCAGGGCAGCTGTGTGGAGAACTCCACGGCTCTCCTGGTGTCTGTGTCCTCTCCAGGGTGATGTGGGAGATCCTGGGGACGCTGGTGTCCGTGGGCTGGATGGTGAGCAGGTACAGCA